CCTTCCAAGGAGCAACAGGTGATCTGTGTGGAATTTTTTAGTCATGCACCTCCAAATGCATCAGGTCAGTGACCTATGCCATCTGCACAAGGTCACACCAGTTCATTTCCCAATGACAAGGACAGCATTGCAGCCGGGCAGTAGGATTTGGGAACTTAACTGGGATTCCTCAAGTGCAGGGTGCCACTGACTGCATACACATAACACAGAGGGCTGTATCAAAAAAGTGCAGAATTCACCAAGAAGGAATTCCATTCCCTTACCGTTCAGGTCATCTGTGATCACTGTTACCACTTGCTGGAGGTGTGTTCACTAATGCCCTTTAGGGAAGGAAACTGCCATCCTGACCTGGTCTGGCCTACATGTGACTCCAGATCCACAGCAATGTGGTTGACCCTTAACTGCCCTCTGGGCAATTAGGGATGGGCAATAAATGCTGCCTAGCCAGCAACAACCTCATCTCGTGAATCAATAAAGTCCACTACCCTGACAACTGCCACGACTCCTCCATCCTGGAGAACTCTTATATACATAGTGCAGTTGAGGGTCTTGCTACCTTACAAGACCGGTTACTGGGGTCAAGTGCTACTCACTGCAACCGTAGCTAATAACACGACTGCATAACACCTGATTAATACAGAGAGCAGATTTAGCACCACTCACGCCTTGACTAGGGCCATGCTGCAGAGGAGTTTAAGGCTGTTGAAGATGTAGTGCCACTGCATGTTGCATCCTGGAGGGGGACAGGATTGTCTGGGCACAGTGTGCCTCAGCATTCTGGTGTGTTGCGCTCTTGCATTATTGCAGCAGATAATTAGGTGATGTGCTGGATCCTGATCGACTAGGGAAATGAAAGCAATCTTCCCAGTTGGAGGACAAGGAAACTGGGGAGAAGAAAGCTGTCTTTATTCATGACACAGCTCAGCTGCATCAGGCACAACAAGCCAGACAGGACCTCAATGATACCCACTTCCAATGCCTGAAAGCTATACGCAGCAGACCATCACAGACTCTAAAATAGTTATTGGTCATGATGCCAAAATCTGATTTGCAATGTCAGGACAACCTCCAGACTCTACTGATTTTGTCTTTGCTCGCTTTTGCTGTCAGCAGATTAAAAACTCCTGTGTGGATTTATCAGATTGATTTTATGCATATGCTGTTTCCTTACTGGACAATGACAAGACTGTGTGCCTACACTGGGCACTGGGTTACACTGACCTAAAGAGTTTTCCACAAAGGATGTAGCTTTGGACCAGTAAAGTGTGTAATGTGGTGGTTATATACCAACCAAGGTCAGGCAAGTGTATGTTCAAAGGAATGTCAGCCATCTTGACTACATGCTTTGGGCAACATGACTTTGTGACATCTATGCCATGCCGTTGATGAGAAGCAACAATGGAATTGCCAATGCTTGTCTGGGTGCACAGAGCTTCTCAGGTATGGTGTAGGTGCAAAGGAAGCCAGGTTTTCAATAGGTGGTTAATGTGGCAAGTTTGGTGTGGTATGGCGAGGAAAATGGCTGAGCCGCAGAACAGAAGCCCCTGTAAAAAAATTCAACATAACTTGGAATTAGCCAAAAAATGCAATATTCAGTTGACTTCTACTGGTAGTGTAACTGATTTGGATTAATGGGGCCACATTAGCAATGCATTCTCCTGTTACAGTCATAAGGCAGCTGTTCACAATATATATTAACAATTTGGATGAAGGAATTGAATGCTATATCTCCATATTTGCAGATGACACTAAGCTGGGTGGCAGTGTGTCCTGTGAGGTGGATGCTAAGAGGCTGCAGGGTGACTTGGACAGACTAGCTGAGTGCGCAAATACTTGGCAAATGCAACATAATGTGGATAAATGTGAGGTTATCCACTTTGGTCACAAAAACAGGAAAGCAGATTATTATATGAATGGTGGCAGTTTAGGAAAAGGTAAGATGTTGTGGTGGCACAGTCGCTGAAGGTTGGCATGCAGGTACAGCAGGTGGTGAGGAAAGCTAATGGCATGCTGGCCTGCATAGTGAGGAGATTTGAGTATCGGAGTCAGGATGTCTTGCTGCAGTTATACAGGGCCTTGGTGAGGCCACAGCTCAAGTATTGTGTGTAGTTTTTGTCTCCTAGTCTGAGGAAGGACATTCTTGCTATTGACAGAGTCCAGCGAAAGTTCACCAGACTGATTCCCAGGATGGTAAGACTGACATGAGGAAAGACTGGATCGACTGGGCTCATACTCTCTGGAATTCAGAAGGATGAGGGAGGATCTCATAGAAACACAAAATCCTGACGTGACTGGACGGGCTAGGTGTGGGAAGAATGCTCCCGATTTTGGGGAAGTCCAGAACTAGGGGTCACAATCTAAGAATAACGGGTAAGCCATCCAGGACTGAGGTGAGGAAGAATTTCTTTACTCAGAATTGTGAACCTGTGAAATTCTCTCCCATAGGAAGCTCTTGGGGCCAGTTCATTAGATATATTCGAGAGAGCTGGACATGGCCCTTGCGGCTAAAGGGTATGGAGAGAAAGCGGGAATAGGACACTGAGATTGCATGATCAACCATGATCATATTGAATGGTGGAGCAGGCTCGAAGGGCCTAATGGCCTACTCCTGTACTTATTTTCTATGTTTCTATAACTACGACAGCATCCTGCTGGTGGAAGACATTACTCACATAGCCACTGCACAGAATCAATGTGAACTAGCTTCCTTAACCTGTTCTTCAAATTTTTCAAATAGTTGGGATCACGACTATTCACAATATATATTAATAACTTGGAGGAAGGAAGTGATGTACCATAGCCAGACCACACAAAATTAGGTGGAAAGGCAAGAGGGATACAAACAGTTCGCGTACAGATATTGATAGGTTAAGTGGGCAAAAAGTTGGCAAATTGAGTATAACATGGGAAGTCTGAAGCTGTTCAGTTTGGAAGGGAGAATAAAAGAGCAAAACATTATTTAAAGAAAGAAAAACTGCAGAAAGCTGCAATTCCAGGGGAGTAGGGGGGAACTTGTGCATGAAACATAGAAAGCTAGCACACAGGTGCAGCACGAATCCGAAAGCCTAATGGAACATTGGCTCTTATTTCAAGGGGTTTGGAATATAAGAGTAGTGAAGTCTTACTGCAGGTGAGACTACATTTGGAGTACTTAGAGCAGTTTTGGTCTTCTTATTTAAGGAAAGATATTTTTTCACTGAAAACAGTTCAGAGAAGATTCACTCAGATGACTCCTGGTGTGAAGGGGCTGTCTTATAAGCAAAGGCTAAACAGGTTTGGATTCCAATCACCGGAATTTAAAAGAATGAGAGGTGGTCTCATTGAAACATATAGGATTCTTAAGGGGCTTGACAGGATAAATGCCGAGAAGATGTTTCCCCTCACGGAAGTGTCTAGGACCAGGCGCGTTGTCTCGGAATAAAGGGGAGGTCAATTTAAGACTGAGATTTTTTCTACTCTTTGCCTTTCCAAGATAATATTAGGTAGATAAGGCACTTTTTAAATTCAAAAGTACTGGTCCTTGGCTGATTTGCAAGTTTGCTGGACAGTGATCTAATCAGGATAGCCACTGCCCCATGAGATGTGCTCTTTTTCTGTGGCAAACTCGTAAGGTGAGCAAACGGAATGGGCCCTATTCACAAGACCGTTGATAATAGTGCGAAGAGCTTTAAACAGATCCCAATGTGTATATTGACTAGTGGAGGTAAGCTCAATGCAGACAGTAGTGGAAAACACAATTGCAAACTTCTTAATTAATGCGTCAAGGAAAGGAGGAAAGTCAGATCGTTCTGTCTGAAAAGTGAAATTGAGTGGGGATGGGCAGCATTAAGATGTGCAAGGAAATCTTTGCTAGCAGCTGTTAATTTAAAGTTCACTTATCTGCATTAACAGAAATAGATCTACATTCTCAAAGGCAATGCCTAGTTGACTTGCCAGCCAAGCTGCAGTCTTTCTCCAGTAGTATGATCTGTTGTGATCATTTAGAATTTGACATTTTCCTTGCATTTTCTTGCATTTTCCCTGGCGAATACAAAATAACAAGCTCTGGTAATATGTCTCTCTTTTCGGCAGTATGTAACTACATTGTCTAGAAACAATGCTTGACAAATCAAGTCAAAATAATTCAATGTCGGGTACCAAAATTTCTACTTAACAGTTCTTTTCAACTGACATCCGCATCTTAATGAATTTGGAAGATAAAGCATGACATTACAAATTTGATAGTGCATTAATCCCAATATCAACTGTGTTCCAAACATAGCCTATTCAGAGAGGGAGTTGTGCTTTTGATTTTCTCAGTAATTGTTTATGTTTTTTTTGAAAATGTTGACAAAGTTATAGAGAAAAATACAAAAATGTAGTCGTTTAGTGGAAATCAGAGGTGATAGTCTAGTGGTGTTATCGTTAGACTATTGATCCAGAGACTCATGTAATGTTCTGGGGACCCAGTTTGAAATCCCACCATGGCAGATGGTAGAATATGAATTTGATAAAAATCTGCAACTGAGGGTCTGGTGAGCATGAGACCACTGTCAATAGTTGGAAAAAAAAACTCATCTGATTCACTATTGTCCTTTAGGAAAGGAAACTGCTGTCCTTGTGTGGTCTAGCCTACATGTGACTCTAGAGACACAGCAATGTTGTTGACTCTCAACTACCCTCTAGACAATTATGGATGGGCAAAAATAATTGGCCTGTTGTCATCTGTATACTTTCTGTAGTCAGATTCTACCCTCGTTCTGCATCTGAAATATGAATTTTAGTCCTTAAGTGATGCCTCCACATTGAAATAAAAACTTAATTGAAACAGCGGTGTGAATAGAAAAGCAACCTAATAGAAATTTTTGTTCATAATTTGCTATGTAGGTCAGGTCAGAAATTACATCAGCAATACCCATCTACCAAGCATGACCATGATTGATAGTGCATAATGCTGTATCAATACTTAGTTTTTATTGTTAGATCAATCTACAAAAAGTTTTGTCATAAGATCTACTCACCACAATTCTAAACCATCCTCCAGCAGGTAAACATGAGGTGGCTGAGAAACATCTGTGCTCAGCTGAATGATTGGAAGCAAGAATGGGTAGAGATTTTTGCTGTCTGCTCCCAAACCCTAGAGATGAGAAAAGTCTGAAAAGTCAACAAGTAAATTGACTTCATAGCTAGAGAAAATGAAGAACACACATATATATTCATATATACAGGCATAATGCATATCTACAAATATAATGTGCATTTGTTCCCTGAAAAATTACTCAAAAGTGATGGATATGCATTACACATAGCTATAGCTGATGAAAATACCATGAATATAAAAAAAGCAACAAGAATAAATGTCGGACAAAGCTAAGGAAAGGGGTAACACATACAATCAGAAAACAAAAACATTATTAAAAGTATGAACCTACAAGTATACGATTTGGAACAGTATTGTTCCACATTGCAGCCTATGCGCCTAAAACAAGGGGATGAGAGGTAACCAGGAATGTATCTACTTTTGTCTTAAAAATATTGAAAGGCACTGCTTCCACCACCTTCTGGGCATGTTCCAAAGATTCTCAATTCTCTGAGAAAAATGTTCTCCTCATCTCTGTCTTAAATGGGACAGGACTTCTAGTCATCTAGAGTTTACCAAAACAACTTTTTCACACATACCCTATCCAGTCCTCTCATAACCTTCTATCCATCAGCCAAGTCCCCTCTTACATGCAAGCTTAACGGATACAAATGTAGCATATCCAGCCTTTTCTCTAACGACAATCCAAACTTTCTAGGCATTAGTTAAGTAAAAAATCTCTGAACCACTTCTAACAAATTTACATTCTTCCTTTAACAATAATGCACACAGTACTCCAGATGTTGTCTTGCCGATGCAACCTATAGCTGAAGCATCAACTTAGTTGCTTTTGCAATAATGGTAACATTCATAATTACATAATTATGAACGTACATAAGCTTACATAATTATTTGTTGTGCTAATGGTGCTCCCTCAAATTTTCTTTCCGGCTGTGCAGTGACTTCCGGAACCAGGAGTGCCGACACTGATCACAAAGCCTTGATCACAAAGCCTTTAGAGGGAACATTGCTGGATAACTCTTTGCAATCCAATAGAGGACAGCTGAAAGACTGTGCTGAGAAGCATCCTGGGACAAGTCGACTCAGTCACCACAACCGATCAATGGAAATCGGAAGACATCTCTGAGCAGGTGCGTGAAATTCTTAAGAGGGAGGATCAGCAGCCAGATGTCATTGTGCACATTGGGACCAACAATATAGGTTGAAAGAAGGATGAGGTCCTGCAGAGTGAGCACAGGGAGTTAGGAAAGAGGCTGAAAAGCAGGGCCTCAAGGATAGTAATCTCTGGGTTACTACCAGTGTGACATGTTGGTGAGGCAAGGAATAGAAAGGTAGGACAGATGAATGCGTGGCTGAGGAGCTGGTGCAGGAGGCAGGGTTTCAGGTTCTTGGATCATTGGCACCTCTTCTGGTGCAGGGGTGACGTGCAAGAGGGACGGTTTGCACCTAAACTGGATGGGAACCAACAGTAGGGAAATTCGCTAGTGCTACTCGGGAGGGTTTCAACTAGAGTGGCAGGGGGCTAGGAACCAGAGCAGCAGCTCAACAAGTGGGGGATGGAGGGAAAGGTACATGTTAGGACCAGTAAATCAAAAAGGAAGGACAAGCAGAAACAGGTAAATGAGCACGATGGCACCAATGGGCTGAAGTGTGAGCGTAAAGCCTGGATCAGTATGTGGGACTATTATGTTGTGACCATTACAGAGACTTGGTTGAGAGGGGGACAGGACCTGCTGCTCAACATTCCAGGGTTTCGTTATTATAGATGAGATAGAGAGGAAACTAAAAGAGATGGAGGAGTTGCATTACTAATCAGGGAAAACATTGCACCTGCACTCAGAAAGGACATACTGGAGGACTCATCCACTGAGGCAATATAGGTAGAGTTCAAAAATAAGATGGGTGTAATCACTCTGATAGTATACTCTTATCGGCCCCCAACACCCACTGAGACATTGAACAAATATGTAGGCAGATTATGGAAAGGTGCAATAAAAACAGAGCTGTCATAGTGGATGGCTTTAACTTCCCCAATATTGACTGGGACTGCCTTAGAGCAAAGAGGCTTAGATGGGGCAGAATTTCTTAAGTGCATCCAAGGGGATTTCTTGCAACTGTATGTGGATAGTCCAACGAGAGGGGGGACGATACTGGACCTTGTATTGGCAAATAAGCCTGGCCAGGTGACTGAGCTTTCAGCGGGAGAGCATTTTGGAAACAGTATCACAACTCCTTAAGTTTTAAGATAGCTATGAATAAAGATAAGTCAGGACCTTGTGGGAAGGTACTAAACTGGGGAAGGGCAAATTACATCAGTATTAGGCAAGAGCTAGAGTGTGTTAATTGGGAGGATCTGTTATCAGGCAAGTCCACATTTAACATGTGGGAATTGTTCAAAGACCTGCTGATGAAAGTTCAGGACCAGCATGTTCCAGTAAGGAGAAAGGGCAAGGATGGCAAGGTAAGGGACCCTTGAATAACAAGGTAGGTTATGAATTTAGTCAAAAGAGGGAAAGGAGCATACATAAGGTTTAGGAAATGAAAATCGGACAGGGGTCGTGAGGAATATAAAGAAAGTAGGAAAGAACTAGGGAATTAGTAGAGCAAGAAGGGGCCATGAAATAACCTCGGAAAGTAGGGTTAAAGAGAATTCCAAGGCATTCTATGCATACATTAAAAACAAGAGGATAACAAGGGAAAATGCAGGACCCCTCAAGGATAAAGGAGGAAACTTGTGCTTGGAGGCAAAGAATGTGGGTGAGATCCTAAATGAGTACTTTGCATCAGTATACACCCAGGAAAAGGATACGGAGGGTTGTGAGATTTGTGTGGAGCATGCTAATATGCTAGGGGATTTTGAGATAAAGAAATAAGTGATGTTGGTTCTCTTGAAGAGCATTAAGGTGGATAAGTCCCCAGGCTTGATGTTATCTACTCTAGGTTTTTGAGAGAGGCAAGAGAGGAAATTGCTGGGGCTTTGACAAAGATCTTTGTATCCTCGCTAGCTACTGGAGAAGTCCCAGATGACTGGCACGTTGTTAATGTTGTTCCTCTGTTCAAGAAGGGAAGTACGGATAATACAGGAAACTATAGACAGCTGAGTCTCACATCAGTGGTTGGGAAGCTATTGGAGTGAATTCTAAGGGATAGGATTACATGCATTTGGAAAAGCATGGCCTAATTAGGGACAGTCAGCATGGCTTTTTGAAGGACATGTCATGTCTTACTAGCTTGACTGAATTTTTTGAGGAAGTGACAAAGGTGATTTATGAGGGTAGAGAAGTGGATGTTGTCTACATGAATTTGTAAAGCGATTTACAAGGTTCCTTGTGGTAGGCTCATCCAGAAGATTAAGATGCATGAGATCCACGGTGACTTGGCTCCGTGGATTCAGAATTGGCTTGCCCATAGAAGGCAGAGGGGAGTGGTAGAAGGGTCTTTTTCTGGCTGGAGGTCTGACTCGAGGTGTTCCGCAGGGATCTATACTGGGATGTGTGTTGTCTGTGATATACATTAATGGCCAGATGAAAATGTATTTGGGTGGGTTAGTAAATTTGCAGACGATACAAAGATCAGTGGATTTGTAGATAGTGTAGAAGGTTGGCAAAGGACACAGCAGGATATAGATCAGTTGCAGTTATAGGTGGAGAAATGGTAGATGGAGTTTAAGTGCTGCACTTTGGGAGATCAAATGTTAAGGGAAAGCATACAGTTAATGGCAGGACTCAGAAAAGCATTGATGTACGAAGGGATCTTGGGGTTCAAGTCCATAGCTCCCTAAAAGTGGCCACACAAGGAGATATGGTGGTAAAGGAGGTGTATGGCATGCTTGCTTTAATTGGTCGGGGAACCGAGTACAGCAGTCAAGATACCATGTTGCAGCTTCATAAGACTTTCGTCAGGTTGCACTTAACAGTATTGCGTTCAGTTCTGGTTACCACATAACAGGAAGGATGTGGAGGCTTTGGAATGGGTGCAGAAGAGGTTCACCAGGATGGCACCTCGATTAGAGGGTAAGAGAGAGGAGAGGCTAGAAAAGGTCGGATTGTTTTCTCTAGAGTGGCGGAGACTGAGGGGAGACTTGATAGAAGTCTACAAACTGATGAGATCCATAGATGGGGTTGACGGTCAGAATCTTTTCCCTGAGTTGGAAGGTCTAATATTAGGGGGCATGCATTTAAGGTGAGAGCAGATGTGAGGGGCAAGTTTTATTTTTACACAGAGTTGTAGAAGTCTGGAACATGCTGCCAGGAGTTGTGGTGGTGGAGGCAGATATGATAGGGGGTTTAAGGGACTTTCAGATAAGAACATGAATATGCAAGGAATGGAGGGAAATGAACCAAGGGCAGACAGAAGACAGTACTTTAATCTGGTGTCATGTTTGGCTCAACTTCGAGGCCGAAGGGGCCGTTCCTGTGTTATACAGTTCTATCCTCTATGTAATTCGTGTCCTGGGACACACCTATGCCTCTGCATTTCAGAGCTCTGCACACTTTCACCATTTAAATAATTTACTTTATTTGCATTCTTTCTATTAGAATCCATAGAAAAAAGGCCCTTCAACCAATCAATTCTATGCCAGACATCAAACATTCATTTATTCTAATCCCATTTTTCAGTACTTGACCCATAGCTTTGTGTGCTATGGCATTTCAAGCGTTCATCTAAATAGCTTTTAAATCTTTTGAGAGTCCCGACAACTACCACCCTTTTAGGCAGTGAGCTCCAATTACCCACAATCCTCTGGGGGGAAAAATTTTCCTCAAATCCCTCTGAACCACCTGCTCTTTATTTTAGCACTGTGCCATCTGGTTACTGACCTCTGTACTAAGGGGAGAGTTTATCCTTATCCACTCGTCTTTGCATCTTTGAACCATATACACATCAGTCAGGTCCTCCCTCAGGCTTTTCTGCTCTGAAGAAAACAATCTCATCTAATCTAGTTTCTCTTCATGGCTGAATCACTCCAGCCCAGGCAACATTCCAGTAAATTTCCTCTCATAGTATGATCACATCCTTCCTGAAGTATGATGACC